AAAAAAAAAAAAAAGGAAAAAATTCATTGCCGATAATAGGGGTGGCAACGAGTCGAGCCAAGAGCCAAAATTCGAAGTTCGGGCTCGGCTCGAGCAAAATGGGTTTAAGCTTTTTTTTGCCCGAATCTAGTTGAATTGCACATCCTCTCTTAAAATTTGAATAAACGTAGCTAAGTCGCTGGCGGTCAAATGAAGAAAATAGATTAAAAATTTTATCTACATTTTTTCTCTCCGACCTTTTATAAATGAAAATTTTCAAACTATTGAACTCGAAAGAATATGGTATATTAAAATAGAGAAAAACAATATCAAAAACAATATCAAAAACAATACAATAATAATAATAATATTAATTTTACTAATTTTTTTTGGAAACAATACATAAATCAGGCATTTGCTTTCACTAATTTCAAAAATACAAAAACATGTTTCAAATTTCAAAAATCAGGTTTCTTTAAATTTTTAATTATGAAATAATAATTATTAAATTAATTTATTATTAATATTTAATTCTACTATAAAATAATTAACCCACCCCCACCTTCACCACCCCTACAGCTCCGGGACTATTCCGACGACCTTTTCGGTCTCCACTCTTCTCCGGCGACAATTCCGACGACTATTCTGATGAAGTTCCGCCCCCGCACCACTCTTCTCCGACGATTATTCTGATAACTGTTCCGACAACTGCTCTGATTCAAACAAGTATCCCAACTCCGACGAATATTTATATATTAAGGTCACAGATCTATGCAATGTGGTCACAATTAAAAAAAATTAGGTCACAATTCAAAAATTACGTAGGTGACATTTTGTTCATCGGTCACAACTTAAAAATTTAAAAGTCACAATTTATTCATCGGTCACAGATCACAAAATTTATAAGTCACATTATTTATTTTATGGTCACAAACGTCATATTAATTGAACATAAATTATATTTAGGTCACAATTTATCAAATGATTGGTCACAAATTAATAATTTGTAGGTCACACAACATGTATTGGTCACAGTTATCTAATTCACTCATTACAAACCAACCAAATTATTGGTCACAAACAACCAAATCATTTGTCACCACCACCAAATCATTTGTGACCACTACTTCGCCACCGCCTCCACCATCGTCGCCCGTAGCACGATCACCCCCGCCATACGGGCGCACACACCCAACCATCGCACAACAACACAACCATCTCACAAAAACGCAACCACCGCAAGCAACTATCCCACAGAAACTCAACCACCGTACGCACTGAAACACACCTAAACCGCACTATAACCACCGCCGCGCACAAACCACCCAAACCACCACCCATTAGCCCAAACCACCAACAGCAGATCCGCCGCCAACAATATCAAACAACAACAGCCTTCCATGCACATCACCCACTGCCATCTGCACAAAATAACCATGACCACCAATCCGCAACGCCTGATCCACCACACACACCACGTTGCTACACCGTTTACGACCATTTCACTGCACCCATGCACACACCCACCGCTGCACCCACCACAAAAAAAGATCTGCATCCTCCACCTCAACCATCGTACCACCTCCGCCACACCACTCAATTTAAAAAAAAAAAAAAGAAAGAAAGGACAGATGGTTGGATCTGCAGCTGGATCTCCCCCCTGGGAACCTAGGGAAATGGACGTCGTCTCGACAATGTGAATTGGAGATAAATTAAGGTAGAAAAGAGTGAGGAGAGGAGACGACGACGACATCTTCTGAGCACAGAGACGGGGAGGGGAAGAGAGGAGACAGCAGGGGAGGAGAGGAGACGACGGGGGGAGTAGAGAAGAGGGAAGAGAGGGGACGGCGGGGAGAGGGACAAATTTAGGTTTTTGATTTTTAGATGAAATTATTAATTGGGATTAAAATTTATAAATAGTATTTAATTAGATACAAAAACCTGAGTTTTGAAAAGTCAAATTAGGAATCTTATTTATGCAAATGGTAGTTTAAATACCGTCCTGGGTGTAATTTCCTCTTTTTTTTTTTTTTTTTACTTAGGATTGGGCTGGAGGGACGGGTTGTAGTGGAAGCTGGCCCGTCCCTGGATCCGCCCCTGATCGTTACTACTTACACAAAGGGAGACTAATATAATTCAGGACCTCCTGTTTGTTGAATTATACTCATCAAAATGGTTATGTCGATTTCATTGATTTAATTATATACTTTTATATGCAAATCACAAGTTTCTCAACTGATATTGTATATAAGGGTAATTGGCGCAAAACGTCCTTACCTATGACAGGTTGTGTGGAAAACATCCCTACGTTTGATTTTTTGGTGCAGAACGTCCCTACCTATGCGT